GATGTGTGGTGGTGAGAAGAGCAAAGTATTAGTGCGTATGAGAACTTTTGCTATAAAGTAAAGGATGTTCTTGACCATGCTACTAGGATAACAAGAAGTAACATGCTGTCATGCTGGCAAAGAAAACAGGATGCGTTTGGAGATAGAAGACCCATGGACTGTGGTCATGGAAACAAAAGCAAACAGCATGAAGTGGCAGTGTGTTGAGATCAGCATGTGAGGGTTTGAATGCCTGCTGTGTACTGAATTCAGTTCTGTGCCATACAGGAAGCGTCCTGCACTTATATGTCAGAAGTAGATGCATATGTTCCCTCGACAAAAACTTATTGATCACTTCCATACGCACAGCTCTGGGCTAACCTGAGGCCACCAAGACGAATCCTACACCCATGTCCCCTCTAGGAGAGACAGGCGACACCTGAAGTCTCATGACACGCTGTACTTGCCTTCCTGATACTTGTTTCAGTTTGGCATCACGCATTTTATTTGTAGTACATGTGATTGTGTGACTAATGCCTGCCATCCCACTAAACCATCAGTTCTAGGAGGTTGGGTCTTTTATTTGTTTTGCTCACCATTGTTTTCCTAGCACAGTGCCTGGCACATCATCCCCAAGTCTTCAATGAAGACTTGGTTGAATAAATAAATGCACCAAGGTAGTATCATGCTAAACTAGTTACAATCATTCAATAAATATGGAATGACTTAGGAGGAGAAATGTGGGTAAAAACACAGCAATATTTTTCGAAGTCTTCATTATAGTAAGACTAGCTAAGGACCCAGAATGGTTCAACAGCCGGTTCTTTGATCAGGGCTTTATGTAGTCAATGCTCAGAGCGGAAATGAATGAAAGAGTTACATAAGCATCATGCAACAGATTTTGAGACTCGTTGTAATATATGAAAATGAACGAGATCCAATATATGCATTGAGCTCTAAGTGCTAAGAACTATGATAGACAATGAGGATAAACTAAATAATGGTCAAACGTTCTAGGAAAATAACTTAGCTGAATTTCTATATACTAGTAAATGCCATATTTTAAGAAACTAGAAGTGTGAAGTTGAGGGCTGCATATGCTGGAGAGATCTTACAATTTTCCTTGAGCCCCAGGAAGTGCATTGGGGCCAGATTGCAAGGGGTGCTGTACCCTACTCCATGGGTTTGTGGAATTGAGTAAGCAATGGAAAGTTGGTAATAGACCTCAAGCAGAAGGGACATGAAATAATTTGGTTTTCGTATTTACTGATTCTGTTTCCTTCCATAATTCCATTAAGTAAGCGGTTAAAAATAATAGCCGCTAAATTCTGGATATAATTTTCATAATGGTTCCAAGGGAAAATGTTATTTTTGTGGAAAAAGATTTATTTTACAAAAAAAAAAGTCAATCGGAAAATGTGATTAGATTTGTAAACATTTGCTTTCAGATAACATCTCTAAGAAGGTGTCTCCCGTGTTTTATGAAGAGGAAAGAAGGCCACTCAGATGGTAGACAGGATAGCGCTTCCTGTACTGGCAGTGGTAGAAACAATCATGTGCTATCGTGCGGTTGTGCTCCTGGAGGTTGTAAAAAAAAGAAACGGGTTATCTACCTTGACATTACTTTGTCATGAGACTGCAAGAGGAAGTAAGGAAGGGAAAATCATAATGTCCACAGCCCTGAACTGGAAGAAGGTGATGGAAGATCAACATGGAAACACAGCAGCCCTGGGTCCTATGGTAAGGTGAGCCTCTCAATTGTCAAGGCATCCATTGCTCCTACAGTGCCACTCGGTCATGCATGCAGCTCACGTAACTGTGTTTTTGCTTCTCCGGGGGCAGTGAACAGAGTGGGTAGGAACACAGGCCCTGGAGCACTCACTGCCTGGGTTCAAATCCAAATCTTGCCTGTAAGACACGGGGGCAGGGAATCTGATTGGTACTGATCATCTTCTATCTGGCAACCTTCTTTGGCCTCTGCCTTGTAGGCCACAGGACAAATAGTGCCTTCTGGTGGTCACGAATCCTTGGCTGAGTTAGTCCCATGATGGGTAGTATGGCACCCTATATGTAAGGGACCACTGCCACTGTCTTTCTCAAAGGAGGGCAGGACAAGCACTCAGAGAACCACGGCCCGCAATCTGCTCCCCAAAAGCTGTGTGCTAGACACAGAGAGTGAATAAACGAATGGAGTTGACTAAACAACATACTAAGAATCAGATGTAATAATATTATACTAGAGGCCCGGTGCACATGCACCTGGTTGCGTCCCTCGGCCTGGCCTGCGGGGATCAGGCCAAAACCCGTCTCTGACATCCCCCGAGGGGTCCAGATTGCGAGAGGGTGGTTCTCATCCGACACAGCCCGGAATTGGACTCCCTCCTCTCTGGTTTCAGGTGCATCCCCTGAGAACCACAGCTGCCAAGTCACCACAGCGTGGCAGCTTCTGCATTGAGCATCTGCCCCCTGGTGGTCAGTGCACGTCATAGCTACTGGTCAGATGGTCTAATGGTCGGATGGTCGGATGGTCGTAAGCTTTTATATATATATAGATATTTATTATTACATAATTATATACAGCAATACAATAGTATATATTATATGTAATAATAAAGGAACCGACTTAACTAAGCAATATAAAATAAAGTGCAAGTTTAGAAAGAAACAGAACACTTGAAAACATTGCTAACACACTTCATGATTAATTATAAGAGAAAACCCCACTGTTTCTATGGAAACTGCATTTATTAGTAATCTTATGTTGGCATCACTAGTATACTTGTTATTGTTTTGTTTCCTTCTTTCCTTTTTTAATACCAAATGTCCATTTTAACAAGCTAAGTTAAGAAATGTCATAGGGTTGGTTGGTTATGTCTATCTGAGAGTAAAAATCATTTAATTTTTTTTCATGAAAATTATCAAACATCACAAATGAGGAGATAATAATATAATAACCCCTTCCATGTACCCACTTAGGATCGGCAACTGCCAATGTCTGACAGTCATATTTTGCCTATGTCTTCCCCCATTTGTTGAAAGATGAAAGTGAAATTCTCATGTACAAAGGAACAAAATGTTACAAGGTCCAGCTTCAAAGAGGAAATGCTTCCAAGTGTATACATTTTCTTTATAGAACATTTTTCTTTCCATTCCTTCAGCCATTACCCAAATTCTGTTAGTGGCCATGGAAATGCCTCCCATGATGGCCTCAAAGAAAGTAATCTCTTTATTTTTTTCCTGCCTCCAAATAAGAAAATGATAACTCAAGCCCACAGACCTCTAGGGACTCCACAGATCTGCTTTAGTCAGTCTGTGAAATCTCAGGAAATGTATGCACATATTTTTACTTTTATTTTTTATACAGGAGAGTTCCAAAGCTTCTATCAGATTCTCCATGGGCCTATTACCTACACATGGTTAGGAACCTCTGCATGTCCTGAAAACATAGCAAACATACTTCCTCACTTTCATTCCTTAGCCCGTTCAGATCAAAATCTGGCACCTGTCACCACCTCCAGGATGCCTTCCCTGACCACCTCACCTATAATTGATTTCCCTCATGTTTTCCTGCAGAATTTAAACCAAGCTACTTTTGTATTTATCACATTCCGTTGAGATCTCATTCACTCAACAGGTATTTATTAGGCACCTACTGTGTGTGTACCATGCGCTACTATATTCATTTAGGTGTGCTTTCTCCTATTGCACTGTTAGAAGAGGGCTAGGACTAGCACAGTATCCAGTATGTATCTGCATCGCAGGAGGGATGGTTGCTGTAGCTCCATTGAATGGAAACAAAAATGAGCAGTGGCACTTCTGTGGGCTGGCATCCAGCTCCAGAAGAACATGTAAAACCAGGCTCATGATTTTTGCTTTTCTTTTTATATGCAAAAAGATGACATTCATGGGAAAAGGAAATGTCAATTTGAATATCCTGGGCATAGTGATAAAGATGCCCAAGCGAAGGTTTCCTCCCCTACACCAATATACCTTGGCACTAGGTAACTCTTCCAGAATCAAACTATATATGCTGACCGCCACTCCCTCTTAGTTCACCAGTGTCTATGTGAGACATACACTTATAATTGCCCCCCCCACAAAACACAACAAAACACACACACACACACACACACACACACACAACACGCCTGGAAAAACAACATGAAGTCCCCCCACACCCATGAAACCAGGAACAGAGCCTCCCACCCAGGGGCAGCAGAGCAGTTACTAAACATGCTAATTTTTCGACATTGGGCACTAGCATCTTTGAAAGTACACAGGCCCCTGGTCATTACTGAGTTGTTTAATAATAGAGGTTGAAGATTATCATGCTAAGGACCTGGCAGAAAGATTTTAGGTAGAACCTTCTAACCTAAGTCCCACCCGCCTTCCCATATAGATGCTACTTTGATGGGGCTAGTTTTGCAAAACTCCTAACAGATTGAGCATCCTGTTTTAGTGAAAAGCTCCGGAGAGTCTACGCGGTGGCACGTGGGACTTAGCCCCTTTGGCGTTCAGTTATCCAAGGTGCACAATGGGGACATTTCCCCTGAAGTAGTTGTTTGCCAGGAGCACACGTGAAAAGACGCGCTAAGGGTAAAGCGTCACGTGGTTGTCAGGTATGACGTTGATGCGCTCCCGGAGGCCCAGGTGTACTCGCCTGGGGTCCTCTCCGTGTGGGACGGGCCACGCCAGGAAGGGGAAACCAGAAGGGCGCGGGGAGGAAGCAGGAAGGTCCCCCATCCCGCGGCAGAGCCTCACTTCCCGGGCACTTTGGGGCGGGGCGTTGCAACCGACTAGCGGGGAGGCAACACTCCTGGGCTCTGCTCCACGCCCAACGCCTCCCCGAGGCTGTCCTCGGGACACCTCCGGGATGGAGAGGGTGGGTCCGGGGGGCGGGGATGGCGATGG